TGGGTGGGTCTTGCCTCTAGCCTCTTTACAGGGTGTTCTGCTGAAGAGTTCCGTGCTGGGCCTGCGCTCTGGGTCTGTTCAGGATCCGGAGGACCCCAGGTCGTCTCACTCACTCACCGGGCCTGCGCTCTCGGTCTATTCAGGATCTGGAGGACCCCAGGTCATCTCACTCACTCGCGGGTCCTGCGCTCTGGGTCTGTTCAGGATCCCGCGGCCTGGGTTGTCTCCACCAATGGCAATTCTAAGATGCATGCAAGGTTTATTTTTTTGCAACTAATCATTGTACTCTAAACACCTTATAGGACTGATTTGAAAGAAAGATACAAAATAAAATTAAATACACCAAAAGATCTTACCTCTTGTAAGATTTTTTGTGCATCTTCTTGTGTCTCAAAAGTGATGAAACCATACCTAAATAAATACATTATTAATTACTAATAATTTTCTTAGAACATTTCACCAGTTATACTAGTTTTTAATTTCGTGCTGCTGAGAATCAAACCCAGGACTGTGTGCATTTTTGGCAGATGTTCTGCCTTTGAGACACACCCGTACCTCTGTAATAAAACTTCTACAAATTGTGTTAAGAACAGGCCACTGTAGAAGCCTTTTTCTACGCCACACAAGCACATGGATGTGGCAAGAATCATTCACAGCTGAACACTGTTACCTCTTTCCAAAGGGACTGAAAGGAAAAAGGAACCTGAGCTTTATGGAAGGACAAAAAGCATCAGAGATTTATGTTTTGGCTTAAAAATTGGGACATAATGAATTTAAATCCAGAACAATTATGTCCTTTTAAAATAATAGGCTTACATATAGTAATCAAAGTAGAAAAAGGGACTTTAGAAAATTAAAATTTCAATATTATAATTATTGTATTGATAAGACTGTACATATATTTATTTATTTAGCACAATCAACTGTACATTTTTCAAATATTAACCAGAAATGTATTCAACCTTGATTTTAGGTCTGCCTTTTATATATGATTGGTGCCCTCAAGTACACCTCATATCATGTTCAAAATATAAAAATACGCCACATCCAAAAAACCCACCTAGGTATAAAAAAAGAAACGAAGTCTATCAAAGCACAACTTCTATTTGGGAAACTAAAACTCTTGACTAATGCTAAAAATCCTAACTTACATGTTTTCAATTTGTAATTATTATATCATATATAAAGTTTCTTTTTTAGCAAAGGAAAGTTCTTTTCATCTTTTTTCCTAAACACTGCTATTTTTACCCTAAACTCTTTGGTAGAACACATGCACCACCCACTGGAAAATGCATACAGTACAGATATACGTGTTTCAGTGTGTTTTTCAGTGTTGACGAGTAGACATCACCAAACTAACTCAGAATCTCCTAACCAAACAAGCCAGTGTGGTATCAATTCATCTTAATATTTTTGGAAGTCTGTGTTAAGTATTTCATACGTCTAACCTCCCTGTGGGGTTCTATTTCTTCAATTTGTCACACTTGTTATTCTCAGTACTACAGTTTTCGACCCACCTTACTGGTTCCTCGTCATATGTCTGTAACTATGTATGTCACATCTCTCCTTCACTAAAAGAAACCACCTTTTACTGACAGCCACGATGCTGTCCAGCTTCTTCTGCAGTGTAACTTCTTAGGTGAATGCACTAGGCAAATTGCATTTTTTTCCTCTCTCTGAGAACTGGCTTCTGCACAATGCAATCCACTTCAACAGTGCTGTATAAATTCCAGATATCTTATCACTTTTTTTTTTTCAATTTTCATTCTCTTTGAGATGACAAAAACCCTTCTCAGCTATAGTTCTCATATGAGTCCCCTAAGCAGGCCTTGAGACATAACCGACAGACCCTCCCGGGCTCTCTGTGGTCTAAAGCAGGGACACAGGCCCTGAAGTGCTGATCATTCAGCTCCTGATGCCTTGGCTCCAGCACAACGTGTCCCTCGGCATCACACACTTGCTGCCTCACACGGAATGGCCACCTCCGTCCACACGAGAATAAATGCCTAAGAACTTAACGGATGTTACAGTGTTCCCTCGCACTCCACCAAAAACACACATGCACACACAGAGACCAAAGGTAAAAAGGAAAAAAAAGAGGGCATGAAATTCTCTCAAAAAAAGAAACAGAAGATTAGCAACAACATCCCGCAGCCCAGTAACACGCGACTGCTAATTCTCTCTACTGTTTATAGTGATACTGACCCTTTAGATACTCCAGCTCTGTCACTGACAATCTTCACTTCTTTTACAGACCCATACTGGGAAAAAAATTTTCTTAAATCATTTTCATTTGTCTAATGGCATAAAAGAAAAAATTAAGAAATAAAATATGAAATAATATAATTGTTTCAAAGACAGAAAATGTTATAAATAGTATATGGTTAAATAATGTCTTTCATTAAAATAGTGCATGAAACTACTAGGTTATGAAAATCAATATTTTATGTATTAGCTATATTGTTAAACTATTATATATATACTCCAAACACATGTAAGTAGAATGAGATATTCCTTTTTTTTTTGGTACCAGGGAGTGAACTCAGAACCTTGCCCTTGCCAGGCAGGTGCTTATGCCCTGAGCTATCTCCATGGCTCCCATATTCTGAAGCTATAAAGAAGGTTCACTATTTAAAAAATCTTACTCTACAGTTAACCAGTTTTTAAAAAAACTACTTTGGATTAAGTGCTACCATAGTAAACACACATTACAGTTAGTCCTGGTGGCTCGGGAACGGACAGGCACAGAACGGAACTAAATGAGTTGGCCCACCTCCGTCACTTGATACCGGTGGTCTCTAGGAAGAGTCAGGGTGAGCGAAAGCAATGCATTTCCTGAAGTATGAGCTCAGTTTGTGAGAAAAAAGGGCTGACTACAGATTTAAAATTACTAGACACTTTTATCTGTATTCAATAGAGATTTCATTTAAATACAGATATATTCAAAGTAAAAATGAGAATCATAATTAGGCTTATGTACGATGTACAGAAAAGGGAAGGAATTGCTATTAGAGATTTAAAAACACTTCAATCAGAGATATTCTCTGGTAGAAGAACTGTCAGCTCAATTTCGTGGCTCCAACTTTTTCGTTCAAGTAAGGGCAGTCAAGATGACTAAAGATTAAGTGGGATGTCTGCAGGCTTCCAGAAATAAGAAGTTTCCAAAGGCTAAGACCTTTGCTACTACAGCCACCTGCTTCCTTGCTGGCATTTATCTAGGGCCTTGAGGATGGAGGCACAGAAAGGAACTCTAGACGGTCCTGACAGCGCAGCTCTGGCTGTACACTAACAGTGCCTCCAAAGGTCACACCTAGGCTTTGGTGACTTAGAATAACCTGGCCATATCAAGTCAGGTTTACTGACGGCTTATTTTAAATATATACCAAGTTGTCTGAATTCTGAACAAGAATGCTCATACTGAATACTTCTGTCAGCCATTTTTTTCCGCCCACAGGCACACAAAATCTTTTTAAAAATGAAACATTTTGTAGGAAATAAATTTTTAGTGAAACATACATTATTTTGGCAAGCACACTACGTATAAGATTTTTTTTAAATAGGAAAAAAAGTGATTCTACCTAAATAGTGACAGATTGATTCTATGTTAACAATAAGCTATTAATACCACATCTAACAGCACAAGGATCTTTCCTGTGAAAAAGACAGCTCTCCCTATGATTTCTAATGCAGGATACAAAAGCTTAGGAATCCTTCTATATTTCCCTTGGAAGCCTGGGTGCTGGACTTTAGACTCACCCCGACTTTCTCGTAGGTGCTTACCGCCTTCCATCTAGGGTGCTGCCAATCAACTCACATCTGTGATTCAAGAATAAAATGGCCAATTACCCGACTTAGAGCATGCTATTGTCAAGATGCTCTACTCTGACAATGTCAGGCTCTTTTGGAAATAAAAGTCTAAATTCCATTACAGAAAGTTATTTGGAAGATTGAAATCTTGGGGGTTGCTCAGGAACCCCAGACAAAGGCTGACAGTAGATTCTTTCTGAGTCTTCCTTTGAAAATTTTAACCACCCATTGCTTAGGTAAAGTATAATTAGTGTGGTACGGTGACACGAACAATACAGAACCGAGTCACAAAAGCAGGATTCTACTTTGAGTCGGCCACTAAGTAGCTAGGAGCCTACAGCACGTGAATGAGCTTCAACCTCCCTGAATATGAAATGAAACAATTATACTTGTGTTACTTCATCTACATACAGATTCTTCATATAAGACAATCTAAAACCTATCAACATGCAAATATGTTATATATTTCTGCAGTTGCACAAATAACCTGAAAAATGCCTTCCAATGGAAGATACTGTAAAAAAAAATCCTATGGCTCTATGTTGCATATATAAATAGGTACCTTAAAGTCAATTCCTCCTACAAAGATGCGATTGGGTATCACCGTTCCATATCTCGGGGCACTTGCTGGGTTATTTAAAGGCACGGGGGACACAGGATTCGGGGATGGAGAATCTGATTGTGTCTGATTTGACGTTTGCTGTAAAATAAAGTAAACTTTTCAGCACTGGATGTGAGTTTCAATACAAGCTGTAAACATGGCTTACCAAAAAGATGCATTACTCAGGCAATGTGTGGTATTATAGACCTGACCTTCATTATGCTATTATCAGGATTCTAGTTACAACAGAAAATAAAGAAGCGCAGACTCTACCATAGGAACGCTTTTCGATTATTTTTTCTATAAATTTTTTCTATTTAGTACAGGGTCGACAGGGTCTCCCTATGCAGACTGGGCTCCTAAGTGATTCTCCTGTTTTCAGCCTCTCAAGTGCTGGGATTACAGGCGTGGGGCACCAGACCTAGTCTCAGTCCCTTCTCTTGGTGCCCTGGAGGCACGGCCTGCAAGGCATGCTTGGGATCAACTTCCGGTCTCTGTGTCTGCCTCAGCAGGTGCTTTAGTCTGCTGAGCTCTCTGGCTGGCTAGATTATTAAATGTACTACTTAACTATGCTTACAGTAATTACAGTTAATTATATTTAGTTATTAAGGGAAGTATTAAATTCATGAAGAAAAGAAAGAGAAGGCAGTCCCAGACAACTGGGAGTGGGCCCGGCACAACTGCCCAGGCCCACCTGGGTGTTATCCGGCGTTGGCCAGCGAGCACAGCTAGGCTACGATGTTCTCTTGTTAGACAAGATCGCACCACGGCTGATAGGTCAGTATAAGAACAAGACAGCCAGGCATGGTGGAGCACGCCTGCAATCCCATCCCTCCAGAGGTTGAGGCCGCAGGAACACCAAGAACTCGAGGCCAGTCTGGACTACACAGCAAGACTGTCTCAGAACAAAACACAACATCCAAGCTCACTGTATCATCATGTCTGCACATGGGCAAAAAGAAAAGTGCTGGCCAAGCCCTGGAAGAACCAAACATCTCCCTTCCTTTCAAATAAATAACGGCTCCTTCTTCATCAATCACAGCTTCATCCTTGATTTTTAAAAAGTACTTAACACCTACAATCATAGAACTACTCCCATTTTGTGACAACATGCATTCCAGAACAAAGCCTTTCTTCCTGAAATCCTGTCTAAAAACCACTTACCTCCCAGAAGAGGTTTTTTTTTTTTTTTTTTTTTTTTTTTTAGAAAAAAACATTTTCTGACTGAGTGGTCACAAATTACAGGCGTCTTCCTGGTAGTCTTTGGCTAAAGACTTAATCAACTCTGCTATTTTCAGAAAGTCAAATTTTTAAGTGTACTTAGGTATTTTGAGACTCGAGTGATCTTGTAAAACTTACATATCTATAGCTCATAGATACAAATCCTTATATAAAGAACTGAGCTCAGTACGTATGTACGTTTACAGTTCTTCATCAGATGACCTCTTAGCCTTTTTAAAATGGCATGCTAACAGACTTCTAACGTGCAACCAGGAAAAAAAAAAAGACGAGAACAGAATTTTGCAGAGAAACCTATTAAAACACTTGCTAATTATTTTTCTTCGGGGAACACTAAAGACTCCCGAGACAGTTTAGCGTACTAAGTAAGTGCTGCAGAAACAATGAAGTCTGTAATTATAAATGACTGGGAAAGAAATACATGTAAATTAACTCTCGATTTTGGTAGTACAGCTTTTTATTTCAATAAGCACCACCCTAATCCCTAACTCATCTCTGCAGGAGGCCGAGAAGCCAGCACGCCGCTGCCGCTGCCTCAGCCGTGTGCTCGAGCCGGGCCTGCTGGCCCCTCGCCTGGGGTCTTGGGGGCAACTGCTGCTCTCGAGGCGTGCACAGGTATTTCCTCTGACGTGCAGAGAAGCCGCAGTTCACGATTCCGGGGTCCCGGTTCCAAAGGCGGGGAACTGGGTGCACGGAGGCGTGCGTGGCGCCTGGCACTCCGCCGCGGTCCCGGCCCAGGGCCATCGCGGGTCCCCCGCTACTGCGGACCTGCCCCGCGCCGAGC